GTTGCTGAGATGGGGAGAGTAACAGGAGTGGGCAGTGAGGATCAAGAGTTAGGTGGTTGTGCCTCTTGAGTTTGAAGTTAGCCTATTTTTTCCATTGCCTTGGTTTCTACTAACCCTCAGCACTGTGTGACGTCTCTCTGGTAAAAGGCCCCCAGTGGACTCCATTTCCACCTCACACCTAGCCCACCCTCAGCCCTTTCCAAGGTTTTGCTCCACTGAAGTTTCACCATCTCTTTTCTCATGTCTTTTCCTCCCCTGGGTATTTTTTCCCATCTACCAGGACACATTTTTGGTATTTCCACACATAGGGTAGGTTTACTCTTTCTGCAGGAGATTTTAGACCATCTTGGGCTGCTGTGTTTTCTCACAACAAAGGCAAGTGGCAGAAGTGAGGGAGTCAGTGCCTGGAGTTAGTGTTTATTTTTCTATTTACTGATAATTTGAAGTTGGACATTTTCTGTCTTTTGGGTATGCTGAGGGTGTGAGTCTTGTGTTGTTTTATATGTTGCTTTTGTTGTTCTATTTTTTGTTTTTGTGAAGATATTTTAGTGAAGTAGGTTTTATGGGGCTGCCATTACCTAATGTTATGGGTTGAATTGTATCCCCCTTCCTAAATTTATATGTTGATGCCCTCACGCACAGTACCTCAGAATGTGGCTCTATTTGGCCTGTCTTTACAGAGGCAATCAAGTTACAGTGAAGTTCTTAGGGTGGGTCCCAAGCCCGTATGACTTGTATCCTCATAAGAAGAGGAAATTTGGACACAGATACACATGGAGGAAAGATAATGTGAAGATGTAGGGAGAAGACAATCATTTATAAGCCAAGAAGAGAGGCCTTAGTAAGAACCAACCCTGCTGACACCTTGATCTTGGACTTCTAGCCTCCAGAACTATAAAATAATAGATTTCTATTATTTAAGCACACCTCCCCTTATTTTGTGGTGCTTTTTTATGGCAGTCCCAGTAAGCTAAGATGCCTGAGTCACTCAGAATTCTGATATATAACTTTTTGTGTAACTTTTTGTCCCCTAAAGGTCTCTTCAGTCCCTGACTGCATACAGTGCATGAGCCTAAGGGCTAAAGGCAGGGCTGGCTACATAATTTGTGGGATTCAGTGCAAAATAAAAATGTGGGGAAGAATGTACAGTTAAATGTGCTATAATATAAAGATTTTACCTTTAAAAATAGTTATGTTTATAAAACATAATAGGGGAAACAGTGATACACATGTGACAACATCAACTTTTGTATATATTTTCAGAGTTATAATCATATATATATATATTTTAGATTTCATTTATTTATTTGAGAGAGAGAGTGAGAGAGAGAGCATGAGTGGGGGTTAGGGAGAGGGAGAAGCAGACTCCCCACTGAGCAGGGAGCCTGAGGCGGGGCTCAATCCCAGGACCCTGGGATCATGACCTGAGCTGCAGACGCTTAACCGACTGAGCCTCCCAGGTGCCCCAGAGTTATAATCATATATAATACAATAAATAACAATACTTTCCTAATGCAATATCTTGATTTAGCGTAAGATTTTTCTGACTACCCTAGCTACTTCCAATTCACTTAAGCTGATACGTGTGTGTATGTGTGTGTGTGTGTGTGTGTGTGTGTGTGTATAATTTTTAAGTAATCTCCACATCCAACATGGGGCTCAAACTCACAACCCCAAGATCAAGAGTCACATACTCCACTGACTGAGCCAGCCAGGTGCCGCTCACTTGAGTTGATTTAGTTGATTTTTCTGTCATGCACAACTTAAGAGTCCTGGTTAATATCCTACCATCTTCAGGCTGCAGTGCACACAGGATGGAGGAGGGTACTGCAGAGCCGAAGGGGTGGGTGGAAAGCCTGTTTCCTCAGGGTGGCCAGTGGCCCCTTCTCGTCCCTCTCCACAGACACCAGGCCCTGCCCCCTCCCCCTGTAGAACTGCCCTCCATCTTGCTTCCTGGTGTGACTTCACAGACCTTCTGGTTCCGCAGTCTCCTGGAGCTCGAGGCCGTTATGGCTGAAGGATTTCAGGAGAGATACAGACTATGGCAAAGAAGAGAGGAGCAGAGACCCTCTTCTTTGTTCTCTTCCTGGACTGTTGGCAAGGTACAGAGCTCTACCCTCTCAAAGGTCCTGTCACAAGTGTCGTGTGGCAGATACCCAAGTAAGAGACTCCCTGTGAACCTAAATCAGGAGGGAGATGGTGTTCTCCTCCCGCAGGTGGAATGGTGAATGCAGGATTTCTCCCCACCTCTACCTTCCTTACCTCCCTGAATCCACCGTAGGGACTTCTTGCTCGGAAGTGGGTAACTTTAACATTTTTCCTGACTGAAGCTTTCTCAGAGGACCTCTGTAGGAGGGTAGCCCACAGGCACACTGAGCTTTTTGTTACAAAATTTTTCAAACATATACAAAAGTAGAAAGAGTAGTATGAACCTCTATGCACTAATTAGGCCAATCTTGTTTCATCTATCCCCTCATACACACACACACACACACACACACACACACACATACACATTTTAAATAACAGCTTTGTTGAGATATAATTCACATAACATAAAATTCACCCTTTTAAGTATATAATTCAGTGGTTTTTAGTATATTCACAGAGTTGTGAATCAGCACTGCTTAATTTAATTTAATTTTTAAAAGATTTTATTTATTTATTTGTCAGAGAGAGAGAGAGCACAAGCAGGGGGAGCGGCGGGCAGAAGGAGAAGCAGACTCCCCGCTGAGCAAGGAGCCTGATGCGGGGCTCCATCCCAGGACCCCGGGATCATGACCTGAGCTGAAGGCAGATGCTCAACTGACTGAGCCACCCAGGTGCCCCAACACTGCTTAATTTTAGAACATTTTCATCACTCCATAAAGCACTATCACACTCACCAGCTGTCATGCCCCATTCCCTCTTTCCCACAGTCCCTGGCAACCACTAATGTACTGACTGCTCTCCGGAGTTGTCTCTTCTGGATATTTCCCATATGGAATCATACAACATGTGATCTTTTGTGACTGGCTTCTTCTTTTTTTTTTTTTTAAAGATTTTATTTATTTATTTGAGAGAGAATGAGCGATAGAAAGCACGAGAGGGAAGAGGGTCAGAGGGAGAGGCAGACCCCCCGCTGAGCAGGGAGCCCGATGCGGGACTCAATCCCGGGACTCCAGGATCATGACCTGAGCCGAAGGCAGACGCTTAACCGACTGAGCCACCCAGGCGCCCTTGTGACTGGCTTCTTTCATGTAACAGGTTTCATGTTCAGCCACCCTGTAGCCTGTATCAGTACTTCAGTCCTTTCTGTGGCCCAACAGTATTCCCTTGTATGCATAATGCCACAGTTCGTCAATCCATTTATCAGTTGGCGGACATTTGGGTTGTTCCCACTTTTTAGCTATCTGAATCATGCCGTTATGAACATTTTAGGAATGTAGATTTTTCAAAGTGAACATTAGATTTACATCCTCTATTTTTAGGGTTTTACTGCATTTGGAACCACTTTTGCTATTGACTAAACCAGTTGGCCGACAGCATTCTGGCACATTCTCTCAGTGTAAAGATACTGGGCCTGTGGAGCAAAGCAAAAAGGACAGGAGGTACATTATACAAATCATACAAATCAAAACATTATATAAATGTCAGGGGTGACATCAGGACAAGGGGAGAATGTGACTATTCTTTGTCAGGGCACTTTAAAAACCAAAGCATTTTTGTGAACAAACGTTCTACTGCCTGGGCTTACTTCCACTTCCACTGTATGGATTCTTAATGATTCACTAATGTCTCAGCAAAAGAGAAATTTTATTTCTTTCATTTACCAAAAAGCCGTCAGAACTGGAAGCATTGTCTGTGTACTACTAACTACCTGATTACCAGTCTTCCTGTAGAGTGGAAAGCTGCCATGACCACACATTACTAACGTTTACGCAGATTTTCTGTCAGGAAACCGAGTGAGACTCGGCATTGCCACTGGTTGTAAGAAGTTCAAATTCTTGCCCATACTTTATGAATGCGGTGGCACTCAGTAGGTGGGTGTTATGGCCCTAACAACCCTTCATGAGGAGATGGGTATCTCTTCCTTGGTGGTTTGCCCACTCCCCTGGGGCCGGAGAAAGGGCTGGCCTTGACCTAGAATCAAGACATCACAACATCCGTAAAGAGAAAGCCTGAAATATAGTTCAAAATTCCACAAGTTGCTACAGTTTATTTTTTTTTCGTTTAGCACAGTCAATCCATATCCTTGACGTGGCCACATGAGTGTCAGCAGAAGGCTTGAAGTCAGTCCATGGCATCCTAGGGGAGACTGTTGACCCAGTGCTTTTCCATTTATACCTTCATTTTTGTATTCGTCAGTGACAACATCAGGAATTCCTTGTGCTTATCAAACAGATCAGGTAGGGGTGGCCTGAGGCCCTCCAAGCCCCCTCCAAACGTAGACCCTAGTGTGGATTAGTGCAGAGTATGCAGCAGTTTTGTTCTCTGCCCTCCAAAACAAGAAGGCATCCCATTTCCAAGATGGTCAAAGTCGTGGCTTGTTGGCATCATTTCTTATGGAGGGGAAAGTGTTTGTTGAGAAGACACTGAGATGTGTGTCCATCTGTCTTTTTGCTCCCCTCCAACACTGATCACTGAGCATAACCATCCAGTGTCCCTTCTTGCCATTCATAGTAGATACGAACACTGGGATGTGATAAGGGGAGGACACTTTTCCATCTACAGATGACGTCAACACATTTCATCTCAGCCCCTCCTCACAGGCCTCTTGTGGTTGGCACCTTTCCCACCAGTCTCAGGTGGGAAAACCAAATCCCTCAGAACTTTACTGCCCAAGATCACAAGGCACTCAGAAGGTGGACTAGAACCCAAGTCCAGTGCTCTTCCTCCTAGAGCAGGTGAAGTGCGTGATGCTCCTCTCAAAACACCATGTAAAAAAGTATTGATTTAAAAAGATTTCATGTAGATCCAATGAATGATTTAATCACAGCTAAGGTTTATTTTCCCCACAGGTTTGAATACTGGATTTTCATCAAGTTCAAAAAATTGGGATGAAGGTTTGTCTAAACTATTCGGTAAGTAATCTCCTCATGTGAAGCCTCCATGCTGTTTTGAAGAATCTCACGCTTTTCCAGGGTTGTCTCTCAGATAATCCGATGCTTTGGTGGGAGGGAAAGTGCTTGTCTTGAGGCTAGAACCAGTTCTTTGAAGTGTCAGAGTCCCAGGAAATTAGGCAAAGTATAGAAGATAGATACTTGGAAAGGATTCTGCTCCTCAGAGAGGGGTCCATGCAGCAGAACAGGGCCACCATGTGGGAGTTATTGCAAGTGCTGAGTCAGACCCCACCTTAGACCAGCTGCATCACAACTGCCTGACAAGGTGCCCGGGAGATTTCTGCAGCGGTGGGATGGTGAGGCCCTGAGGCTGAGATAAACCTTTTCCCCAGGTCCTCAGCCCTAGTTGAGCATGAGAATCCCCTGGGAAGATTGTTAAAAAGACCCCTGATCAGATTCCCTGGCATAGGATGAGATATTTGCACCAGTAGTTTTTAAAGCTCTCCAGGTGATTCTTGGCTGGGACTCATTGATCTATTCCAAGTCTCTCATGTAACATTTGAGAAAAACAAGGCCTGGAAAGAAGATGGTAGGAAGCTCCAAGACTATGTTACAACTGAACTGCCAAGAATTATCTTAAGCAACTATTTTGGACTGTTGGATTCTAGTTGAAAACTTGCATCATCCAGAGGAATGCTTAATGAAGCGACTGGTAAATTTTAGTAATTCATGTAGATCCTACCATTCTCCTTCCCCCAGCCCCACAGCAGGTAGCCAAGTAGTCGGCAGCCTGCATTCTCAGTGTAGTTTGCTGGTACCAGAATGGGCAATAGGAACCCATCTTCAGTGTGTTTACTGTCTTTGATGACTTAAGGAAATGAGAGATAAAGAACTTAAGGAAATCAGGAAAACAATGTTTGAACAAAATGAGAATGTCAATAAAGAAACAAATTATAGAAAGGAAACTGAGATTCTAGAGTTGAAAAGTACGGTGGCTAAAATGAAAAACTTACCAGCGGGATTTGACAGCACATTTCAGCAGACAGAAGTAAGGATCATTTTGAACTTGGACAATTGAAATTTTCCAGTCTGCGGAGCAGAAAGAACAAAAAATGAGCAGAGGATGAGGGACCTGTAAGGTCGCATCAAGTGTACCAACATATACATTACAGAAATCCCAGCAGGAGAAATGAGAGAAAGGGGCAGAGAAAATATATGAGGAAATAATGGCCAAAACCTTCTCAAATTAGATGATTTTACACATCCCAGAAGCTCTAGAAACTCCAGGCATAAATGCAAGAGAGTCACACTGAAACACATTATAGTCAAATTGTTGAAACCCAAAGACAAAGAGACAGTCTTGAAAGCAGCAAAGGAAAAACTACTCATTGTTTACAAGGGATCCTCAATAAGATTAATGGCTGATTCCTCCTCAAAAATCATGGAGACCAGAAGTGATGACATATTTAAAGTCCTGAAAGAAAAGTACTGTCAACCAATAGTTTTATATTTGATAAAACTATTCTTTGAGCATAAAAGATAAACTAAGACATTTCCAGATAAACAAAAGCTAAGAGATCTGCCCCTTAAGAAACACTAAAGAGAGTACTTCGGGCTGAAATGAAAGGACAGTAGACAGTCAAAAGTTTGAGAATAAAATGAACACTGATAAAGGTGACTGCATAGGTAAATGTAAAAACCAGTATTATTGTAATTTTGGTTTGTTACTTCATTCTTTTTTACAATGTGATTTAAAAGGCGATGAATGAAACAGTGATTGTAAATTTATGTTCATGGACATACAGTGTGTAAAGATGTAATTTGTGGCAATATAGAGGAAGGTAGAGATATATATGAGCAGAGTGTTCATATACTAAGTTGGTACCATTCAAACTAGGTTGTTATTAGTTTAAAATGTTAGTTGTAATTCCCAAAGTAGTCATGAAGAAAGGAACTAAAACATATACAGAACAGTAACAAAGAAGGCAATTGAAATATAACATTACAAAAAATTGGGGTGCCTGGCTGACTTAGTCTGTTACGCATTTGCCTTCAGCTCGGGTCATGATTCCAGGGTCCTGGGATCAAGCCCCACATCGGGCTCCCTGCTCAACAGGGAGTCTGCTTCTCCCTCTCCCTCTGCTGCTCCCCCTGCTTGTGTGCATGCTCTCTCTCTCTCTGTGTCAAATAAATAAATAAAAAAAAATCTTAAAAAAAAATAAACTCCCACAGGAAAGCAGTAATAAAGGAACTGAGGAACAAAAAATTTATAGGACACAGAAAACAAATAGTTAAATAGCAGAAGTAAATTCTTTTTATCAGTAATCACATTAAGTGTAAATAGATTAAACTCTTATTAAAGGGCAGCGATTAGCATATTGACTAGAAAATCCAATTTTCTTGTTGGGAATTAAAATGGTGCATCTGCTATGGAGAACAGTATGGCTGTTCCTCAGTTAAAACTAGAATTACCATATGACCCAGCAATCCCATATTTGGTTATGTATCCCAAAGAATTGGAAGTCTCAAAGAGGTATTTGCCATGCTTATAGCAGCATTCTTCACAATAGCCAAAAGGTAGAAGCAACCCAACTGTCCATGGATGAATAGACTAACAAAATGTGGTATATACACACAATGGAATATTATTCAGCCTTAAAAAGGAAGGAAATTCCGTTGCATGTACAACATGAATGTTGTAGCATAACCCAATGCTTTCTTTGCCAAATTTAATAAGCCAGTCACAGGAAAACAAATACTGTTTGGTTCTACTTATAAGAGATATCTAAAGTCAAATTCATAGAAAGAAAGTAGCATGGTAGTTGCCAGGGGCTGGGGTAGGGGAGGTGGAAACAGGGAGTTGTTGTTTAATGAGTATGGAGTTTCAGTTTTGCATGATGAAAAAGTTCGGGATATCTGTTATACAACAAGGAGAATAAACAATACTGCTGAACTATGCTTAAAAATGATCAGGATAGGGTGCCTGGGTGGCTCAGTTGGTTAAGCGACTGCCGTCGGCTCAGGTCATGATCCTGGAGTCCCGGGATCGAGTCCCGCATCGGGCTCCCTGCT